GTCGGGGGTTCAAGCTCACCAGCTGCTCCTCAGAAACCCTATACAGGGTAACTATATGTGGGAATCCACTTAAGGACAACAACCTTACTAATTTGAATATTAAATGAGCTAAGTGTTTCACGAACTGTAACAGCGCCATACAAACACAAGATGAGAATGAAGTGGGTTGTTGAGAATGAAGTGGGTAAAGGCAGTGCTCAACAAGTTATTTTTTTGCTTTTGTCTCCTTGATGCCAAATTCCCTCAGGGAAAGAAATGCAAAGTGGGATACAAAGAAGAAATAAAGGCTCTGAGGAGAAGTGCAAGCTAGTAGAACAGTGATTTAAAAACAAAACAAAACAAAAAACTTTTTATTGTGAATGGAGTGAAGGTTTACAGAGGTGTTCATCAGTTTTATATTCAACAAACCATATACTTTGCTCCACTACAAATTGCAATCCCCTCCATGCACCAACAGTTAACAGCATTTACTCTATTCCCTTTAACTATTCCATTCCTACCCGGGTCTCCCTCTACCTTCATCTTTCCTCTGCTAACCTCCCCTCCCTCTTGTTGTATATTGTCTGCCCTGTCACCCATGTTAACATGGGTCTACCCTCTAGCCCAGGAATCATTTTCCTTGCCCCGCCCCTCCCATAACCATCATAGATTGTTTCTTTTCATCAAGAAAAACTTTTTTTTGACTTTTTACAAGATTGGTCGCACACGTTTTGTCCTTTTGTGATTGACTAACTTCACTCAGCATAATGTCCTTCAGGTTCAACCATGTTGTGAGGTGTTTCATAGATTCATCATTATTCTTGACTGTTTAGTAGTATTATGTGTATGTACCACAGTTTGTCAACCATTCTTCTGCTGATGGGCATTTAGGCTGTCTTCATCTTTTTTATATGTCTCTTGTAGACAGTATATTGAAGGATTCTGTTTAGAACAGTGAGTTAAAAAGAAAATAAATAATAACAGGCCCCAGTTACATTACTCAGGTAACTAAAATGTTGGTAAAATCACCAGAATATGGTTGTAGCCCAGCTCCAGGCACTTGATAAGACAAGGCCAGCTTCTCCTAAGGCAATCCAAGATCCTCGGACATGAGATGTGAAGAAATGATTATAGAGCCATTGTGTAGGATTTGGAGCCCGGCAGTCTGCATATTTCATAAAAATATCTGCCCCTCAGAGACTAGAAACAAAAAAAGGAGGCTGACTGCATGAGTCATCCTCATTCCTCCACCCAGTACAGTGCCTGCAGAAACTATGCTTACCCAATGGGTGTGGGTTGACTAGATGAATGAAATAAACACATTCTCCAATTGCTTGATGGAATCCTCGTGTGATGCTATAGAAAATCACTAGACTGTCAACTTCAAGATCGGCGGTTCAAACCCACCAGCTGCTCCTTGGAAACCCTATACAAGATCTTTATGAGTTGAACCAACTCTACAGCACTTAACAACAACAAATTGCTTGATGGGCCTGGTTTTAATAATAATAATAATGATATGTAATTGTACATCATTGATGACAACTATTTCTTTCATCTGCACTCTAGAACTTTATCAATACTCTTTTTCTTCTGGCTTATCTGACTTTCTAAATTTCTGAAGTTTTGCCTTTGAAAGGGTAAAAGTAACTTAATTTTAAACAACTGTTTCTTTTCTTGGCCTTGAGGCCACTTTCGAAGATAAGACACCAAATGAAACTATGTGTGTAGCAGGGGCTGAAAAAGCATTTACCAGCAACTTCCTCAAGCTCTCATATTGTCGCCTCAATTTTAAGCAGGAAATTTCAGTTTAATCAACATTTATACAGTAAATAATATGCAGAAAATGTGAATCCACATAATTTTAGCACCGGAAAGAATCGTACTTGAAGTCATTTACAGCGCTGTTGTTAAGGGCCGTAGACTCATGAACTCCTGGTCTGGCGCTGTAGGATCAGCACTGGACTGGGGACAAGGTCAGCAGTGCAAACCCACCAAGCTATTCCACGGAAACCCTATACCGTGTCGCTGTGATTCGGAACCCACTCCACGGCACTCAACAACACTAACAATAGTCGTGGACTCATAGTAACCTTGTGTAGGGTTTCCGAGGAGCGACTGGTGAGTTTGAACCGCTAACCTTTGTGGTCCGCGGTCAGACGCTTATCCTACAGCACTACAGTAGAACTCTTTACCGAGAGGCCCTGAAGAATTAAGAATCCCATTCTCCTGAAACTTATTTCTACACCTTCAAAAAAGTAAATTAAAACACAACAAAAACAAATCCTAAGCAATTGCTAGACTTTGGAGCTCACTTTTTGGATTGTTTTCCTTTCCTTTGTTGCCTAGATCCCAGGCCTTTTCTTCCCAGAATGCACCAGGCAACCCAAAACTCCAGACACGTTTGACTGCCTGGAGTTAGGAGTTGGGGGGAGGGGGAGACAGGACACTTAAAGTGGGGCTCTAGGACAAGCACTGGACTGCTAACCGCGGTTCAAACTCACCAGACTCTCCTCGTAAACCCTATACAGAGTTGAGTCGGAACCGACTAGACGGCACTTATCAAGGCGTTAGCCGCAATCCAGAGTTGTGCTGGGGTTCTGGTTAACAAATGATTCGATAGGATTTGCTCGTGTAAAAGGTGTGTTTTTGCCGGATCAAGCCGGACTGCTACCTTAAGCGAGTTTAAAGTTTGACTTTTCCTTATTGCAGTTTGAAAGAGGCGTTTAATTCTTCCCGCTCCTCCCCCTTCCCATGTAAAGTTTGTTTTCAAATTATAAACTCGCTGCAACTCCCGGTTTTCATCTCGCTGGCCTGAGAATCGTAGTAATTATAATTAGCCAAGTTCACTTAGCCGAAGAAAAAGATACCTTTGTGTACTTTATGAGAGCCACCGCGTGGCCAAGGATGACTACAGGGAAGAAGGAAAAGTTTCTGTCTCCGGCGGCCGAAAGCGGGAGGGGGGAGGGCCCGGCTAACTGAAGCCGAGTTTTGTGGAGTCGCCTCGAAAGCCGCGGAGGCAGCTTTCGAAGTTCGCAAACAAAGCGTCTCCCGAGTAACCGCCCGGCTCCAGACGCTACTCCTGCCACTCAGGCCGCGCAGTCGCTGCGTCGGCCACCGGGCTCCTCCTCCTGGCGTTGCTCCTCCGCCCTCCTCTCGGCTCTCCCAGCGGATATGAGCCACCAATCCCTGCCACAAACAACCCTTCAAACGAAAGAATGGAGCGGCCGGCTAACGGGCGGCGCGCCCTCCGCCCTACATCTGTCCGGCACCCGCGCACTGCAGCGGTTTCCTGTCGGGCCAGGCCCGGAAGGCTGCACTCCATCCAGTCAGTCCCAGAGCAGTCCCAGGCTGGCTGTCCCCTCAGATCACGCGCCCCTCGTGCTGTGTTAGATTAGATGTGTGTTCTGGGTCGAGCGGTCGGCAAACCACAGCAGGAAAAAACCAACTTTAAATTCCTGCCTTCTTTTAGTGACGTTTCTTTCCTTGTTCATTCACTTTAAGTTCTGTAATAGAAAAACTCGTTTTTTTACACTGTGGCACTGTGTGTGTGTGTGTGTGTGTGTGTGTGTGTGTGTGTGGCGGGGAGGGGAGGGGGAGTAGAGGGGTGCGGCTGGCTTTAATTTTCAGAGTAATCCTAAAACAGAAGATCCAAAGTCTACTTAGTCCATTTTTGGCTGGCTTTAGCCTTCATCGGGTTTAACCGTATTTCCACGGAGCTCCCACTGGCAGGATTTCCATCGAGGTTACCAAACAAACAGCACAGAGCCGAAACTGGAGGCAGACCCAGGCGCTGACGTCTCTGCTAGGCTTATTTGCGTTTGGGGTTTTTCTCTTTTTTTTTTTTTTAACTGAGGGGAAAGTCTTGCTTTGGCATGTGACAGTTCGTTTGCTTCAAAACAACGGAACACACACGCGCAAACTAGACCCAAAGGAGGGGTAGGGAGGGGGCCTGAGAGCCTTCCGTTTGGCCAAACTGCATTTGGTCTTTTAAAAGGGTAATTTCAACCAACAACCCCCAGTGGTCTAGTCCTCATAACTCTCAACCAAAACAAACCAACAGGAACATGTGTTTACTTAATGGTTAGTTTCTGTTTGAAATACTAGGGGAGGAGGGGACCCCCTAGCATGGTTTAAATTCTAAAAGTAGACACTGTTTACCGAAACAGAAGAAGAGCCCATGTTCTGTCGCCCCTTTCACATAAAGGCAGCAGCTGCCCGGGCTGACGAGGTGTCAGCCCTGAGTGGCGGCGGGGCGGGCGCTCGCCACAGCGGTCCCCAGACAGCCGAGCATGTGAGCATGACAAGTGTCTGTTCACAACGTGTTAGATTTCGAAACCTCCCCGCAATCCAGTCCGGAACTCGCAGCTGTAGCCTGGGGGAGCAGACCTTCACATGAGTGTCTGTGTCTTATCTCCCCCACAAAAAAACAAAACACACACACAAAAAAACCCCTCCCGCTTCAGTGGCTGTTGGAGGAAGACCCCCTAGACTAGAAGGGTGCGCCGAGACGCGTCCGCGTGTCAATGGCAGCCGCGCATTCTGGAAGAAGTTAATTCCTGTCCGGAATACTTTTCCTCCTGCGCTCCGCCCCTTGAATCCGAAGGGACTGCGGGTGTAGGACTGACTACAAGGACAGTGTAGCCCGGACAGCTGTCAACAACGTGAGCGGCAGCCTTGACTTCCTGGGGCTGGAAGAGCAGGGTTTGTAGTTTTACAACGAAACGCACCCTCGCCAGCTGGTGAAGAAAGGCCCCAAAGAGAAAGCCCGGCGGCCGCCGCCTTGTAAGAGACGCGGGCTGTATGCGCTCAGCCGGCAGGAAGGATTGAGTTTCTCGGTCCCCACCCCCGCGCCGCCCCCGCCAGTGACGGGTGACAGCGGCCGGGTGCCCGCGGCTCTGTCCGCGGATCGCGGCGCTGGAAGTGGGGGGAGGGGCGAGGAGCCGCGAGCGGGCGGGGGACGGGGCGGGCGGCGGGGGGCGGAGGCAGGACCTCCTGTACCTTCCCTCTGCGCTACGCTCACTCTGACAGCACCGAGGTGCGCCGAGCAGGAGCCGGGAACAAAGGAGCCAAGTGGGGAGAGGAGTGGGTCTGGAGAGGGAAAGTCCCGGCCGTTTGCCAGAAGATCCCGGCAGGAGGAAGCCCGAGTGTCAGTTGAATTCCATCCAAGGACCGGGCGCCTGGAACCCGAGCGCCTAGTTTAGCAGTAACGGTTGGAGCACCTCCTCCAAGTTACGGGAGAGTCTGCGGTGCCCACCACTCCTGGCGCGTCTGGCCCCCCTAGTCTTCCCTCCCGCGGGAAGTGGAAATCCAGAATGAAAGGCAAGAAAGGTAAGCCCGCCGCGTGCGGCGTGCGGCTTGTGAACCACTCCAGGGGTCGGGTGGGGTGCTAAAGTGACTTTGTGGACTTTTCCGCCGATGGACTCTCGGGCCGCCGTTTCTTTGTTGGGGCTCGGTCTGGAATGGCAGTTGATGTTTTCCTTCTAGACACACCACGAGGAGCTGTTGTCGGGAGACCAGCCTCTCCATGCTGCTGGCACGTTGTCAAGAAACCTACTCCGCGGTCTTGTTTGTGCAGCTCCAACTTTCATTGTCTGAGCGGACACCCCACGCTCCGAGCGGTCAGCCGCGTCTGGGTTTCTCGCACTAACTCGCCGGCTGCGGGTGTGGGGTCCCGGCCGGGCCGCCTGGCAGGGGGACTGGACTCTGCGCTGTGGGGTCCCTGACACCCGGCACTGCGCAGCCTTTGTCTCAAAGTTGGGCTCAAGGGCTCCCACGCCCAGCTGAGCTCCGCGCCCTCTTTTCTTGAGGAATTCAGCCTGCTCATAATTAAAGGAATTAATTGTGGACCCCAAACCGCCCTCTGGTGTAAATAGTTTTGGGAAACTACACTTTTAAAATCCCTAGTCTTTGAAAGTTTTCCCACTATGAACTTTGGTGGGATGAAGAGTTGGAACATTGGACAAGCTCCTGAAAGGGGCACGAGGTCAGAATGTGTCCCAATGTGACAAGCAGGCTTGGTTGTAAATGCAGAAAGTGACCCTGTCATTGTTTCCACGAAGCGTTCGGGAAGCTTTACAACTAAAATTTACCGTCAGTCTGGTTTAAAAACAAAATACACACACAAGCCAACCCACGAAAGGTCAGAGACTGTGAACTCTTTTAGAAGCTAACTTTTGAGTCACTGGTTGGGAAGTGCCCTCGAATCTTCAGTCGTTAAGGTGGAGGTGGCTCTTCTGTTGTGATTTATGAGGAGTGGTTCAAAACAGAAGTTGTTCGCTGGGGGCGGGGGGGGGGCCACTAGGATGGGGAGAGACCGACAGACACACGGGACACTGCGCATGCTCAGTAGCTCGCACGACTTTTTTTAAACTCCACATTCTTTCAGAAGCCTAATGCCTTGATAGACATTACATCGTGTACAGTTAAAATGGAAAAATTTCAAGTGGAACAGCCTTATGCCCGAGAGAGTTATTTCGACTCCGTTTTTACCTTGGTGTTCTGTACACTTGGTTCTGTGAAAAGACTTGAAACAGGTGGAATTGACCCTTTCCCAGCCCAAGTAACTGAAACGTCAGAACCAGGCTAACGTCGTAGTAGGACTCTCTTTGGACCCCTCCCCAACACAGACAGAAAATGGGGGTTAACTTAACCCAGAAAGAGGTAGGAAAACACCTGAGGAGCGTCCAGGCTCATCGCCTCTGTATCTCAACTCTTGGTAGAACTGACAGGTCTTGATCCTTACTGAAAGGGATTTTCTCTGAAGGGAGAAGAGTTGGTTCTTGTTCGGGTGCAGGATTTCCCCCGCCCCCCCCCCATTGTTCGGGTTGGGGGAAGGGGACGTCGCTGAATCTCTGCTGCCCACCTCGGTCTCCTTGCCCCTTCCCCCAACCCCCTCGGGTCCATCCTGGCTCTCCCCCGCCCCTCCATTCCGACCCCTTGTAGTCTCCCTCTCCCCAAAAGAACGAGGCTGGGAAATGCCGACGGGATCGGTGGGAATATTGGCAGTCCGCAGCCTAACCTTACTCAGCGCCCAGTCATGGAAACAATGAAAGGTTGACATGTTGGAGAGAAAACTTTGCGACTGGTGTGGATGGAGCTCATGCGGGGGAGCTGGCAATGTGATGCTTAACCGATTTTCTTTCTTTTATTCGGTTTTCCTGGCATCGCCTCAAGCTTTTTCATATGTCTGAAACGCTTTTGAAATTCTCATCTGGTTGTGCTAATAACTTGTACATTTCTAGGCACCACTCTAAGTGGAAGCTGAGGAACTCGAGAACAAAAGCCGCTTTGCTTCCTCCCTCGCTGGGCCCCTCCCTCTTCTCCGTCCTGCCTCCTCCTTTTGTAAAATACCTTTGAGGGGGTGAAAAAGTTCCCAGAGTCGACTCTGGAAGGACTCTTGAAGAAACTTCTCCTGCCTGGCTTGAAGGAGTTTTATGAAAGTCCGTGCAAATCTTTTAACGTTTACATGAAAACAAAGGCATCGTAAACTCAATTACAGAGCCCGGGATTTGTATAGTTTTAAGAAGCCGAGGATGCTTAAAATATCTTCCAAAATGGCCTTGAAACACCGCAGAGAGAAGGTTCCTTGAGGAAAATCCCTCGAGTCTTTTTTAAATACTAACTTTAGAATTTCTCTCTGGCTCCAGAGAAGCACACCTTGGATTTCGTGACTTGACTGTTAAGATTCCTGTTGCTTCTCCCCAGATTTTCTGACTAGGAGACTAATTTATAAGTTTGGATTTTCCTTATTGTGTACTTAGGCTCTTTAGATTTATTTTAGATTACTTTCTAGTTTTTCCTACGCCCCCCTCCTCCCCCGGTCCAACTTCGCAACCACTAAGAAAAGTGTAAAAACAAGCTTACATTTTAAAATGTGTTGTGGAATCGCGAGGCCGTCTAGTGACTTTCTAAACAACATTTCCTTGTATGTGGATAGAGTAAAAGGCTTGTGATTACCCCACCCCCTCCTCTCCTGGAACCACATTTTTTACAGTGTAAGCAACGCAAGAAGTTTGGAAACAAGTCGTAACTGGGAAACTTTTCAAAAGCTCTGTTACAATAGGAAATGACTAACGAGGAAAAAAGTCGTTTTGTTTTTCAAAGTTGAGCCACCATCAGTAGGGAGTTTTAATGAAAACAGTCCTGACAGAAGCAAACGTGGTTTTGCAGCCGTGAAATATCAGCTGGCATAGCCAAGGAACTCAAGCCTTAACTTCCTGTTACTTCAGCTTTTGTGCACATATTGGAAATATTTGTTAGGCGGTTCGGAGGCCTGGCATTCATTTATTTAAATGAACTGAGAACCGAGGAAAGTCACACTGGAGTTTGGTGTTGCTTAACTGAAACCTGCTTTTGTGTCAGTGACACTAACCTATTCTGAGAGATCAAGCTTCACGTCAAACTAACTGCAGATCAAAGGGCAGGCTTCTGGTTTTTTTATGTTTTGTTTTTGGTTTTAAAACTCTTTGTTATTACCAATTTACAGTTGGAAATTCAATGTTCAGTTAGCACATTTTCACACTTTTTGTAGGTTAAAATAAAGCAGAGGGAGTTAATAGCCTTGAGAAGAATGTCTGCCTTTTCATACCTTGAAAAGTTTAAACAAATGCTTTATTCAAATTTTCTTTAGTCATTCAATTACTTGGCACATTCTTTTTCAAGTTAATTTCTTTAACTATCAAAGCAAATGTAAACGCTAAAACAGGAACTAATTACTAATTTACAATTTTTGAAGGTTTTTTATTCATAGCTCTTCACCTGCATTTTAGTATGGGGTTTTAAAAGTTCCCATGTTCTCAATAGTGAAAGCAGTTTCCGTTTTAAATGTGCATTTCAAAAACTTTTTTAAAACTTTTATTTTTTATTTTTTAAAGCAGTTTAAGTAAATCCGCAGTGAAGGAGAACTTGAAAATACAGACTGGTTAAAATAGGATTCCTAAATGCGTTTTATTTGTGGTGGTTTGCTTAAGCCTGGAGCTAAAATGAATTTGCAAGATCAGTCTTCTCTTTTGTTAGAACTTGCTTTACTTTGTCTTGGGAGAGTTCTGCCTTCTTTGGGCAGAAGCGCCTTCTGCCCCCTGCAGTCCAAAACTAAAATCACGTCCCCAAGTAAAGGCAGAGTCGGTTAACTCCTAAGCGATTTCACCAACACGTGCTTGATTAAGTAGCTTTTACAATTTCATGGTGTTAAAATGATTTAAAGGGGTGGGGTAAAAAAGTTATTAAAAATATATTGAATACTTTTTATATTCAGGAATATTCTTTGTTTTTTATCATGGTAAGCTTTGACTCAAACTAAGTCATTTTTCAACCAAAATGAAATACTACAGAGAAAACATTTTTGTTTTAAAGGCTTACCTTTAATTTTTAATTCTGTTGTTTTCATTAATTTTACCTATTTTGGAAAATTATCTAAAGTAAAGAGAATATATTAACTTTAGTCAAAGAATTCTGAGTTGCTTTTAGTAGTTTGAAAGGGGAGGGACTAATACCATTTGTTACTGAAGTTCAAAGTGAGCCTTAACTGTTTGTAAGGGCCAGTGTAAATTTTATCTGATTTAAGTATTCTCAGTAATAGGATTGGAGTCCTGGTGTGGCGCTATGAGTGAATGCGCGCCAGACTGCAAAGTCTGTTGGAACTGCAAAGTTCAACCTCACCAGGTGCCCCTCTGAAACCCTCTACAGGGTCACTATGAGTTGCTATGATTTCTTGACAGCACTTAACAACAGGATTAAAGTGCTTAAAGCCAAAAGAGTGTTTCTTTTGGGAATTAACTATACACTTTTCTTTGTAATAAATTGATTGAATTCTATTTATTGGTTGTTGTTGTTGTTAAGTGCCATCGAGTCGGTTCTGACCCATAGCGACCCTGTACAGGGTTTTCGAGGTAGGTTCAGATTAAATTAATAGCTGAAATCTTATATCTCAGAAATTCAATGCCAGAAGAAGAATCGAATAACATTTTAAATGTACAATTAAGGTACTCCTAAGATGTTTTTCGTATTTACCAAAGACCTTAAAGAGAAGGTTTAAGATCTGTAACTCCCTTCCTATTTAACATGTGACAAGCTATTCACTCTAGGTGCCTTTGCTCTTGTTGGATCAGATGAAAGACTTTTCTTTGGAGAATCATTCCAAAGGAATGCAAGATGTTTAATTCTGTCGGAAAGCGAGTAAGAACAGGCTTCTGACAGTTTGTTGAAAATCTACTCTGTGCTGTGACTCAAATTACGTTTAGGTACTTTAGAGCAGAAAACCACTCATCCTTTGCCTAGTTTAAAACATTCTTACACTGAGTGGTGAAAATCAGTGAGGCTTGCAGTGGGTGCTCTGCTGTTTAAGCCACTGACAGTTGGTCTTTGTCCTTTCCTAGGTGTTGTTGCAGTGTCTGGCAGTGAGACTGAGGATGACGACAGCATGGACATTCCCCTGGACCTTTCCTCTTCCGCTGGCTCAGGCAAAAGAAGGAGAAGGGGCAACCTGCCCAAGGAATCTGTTCAGATTCTCCGGGATTGGCTGTACGAACACCGATACAACGCTTATCCCTCAGAGCAAGAAAAGGCCTTGCTGTCCCAACAAACACACTTATCTACACTACAGGTAAGGAGAAACAGCATGAGGTGTAATTTTTAATAGGCCCACGTTTTAATTTTTCAGTCATTTTATCACATTCCTTTATGTTGAACCATTAAGCTCCTCCACATTAAAAAAAAAGTTTATATTTTTATTATAAACTGTAGTGCTAAAGGTTAATAACTAATAAAGCAATTTGGAGAAATACACAAACACTTGACAGTCATCTGTCAAATAGTATCTCCTTTAATGCCTGGAAGAGTCTTCCTTTATGCAACAAACATAAAAAGATTAAACCATACTCTATTACCCAGGAAGCTGGTTTGATATTTAAACAAGGACAGACTCTCAGTGAGGTGTCATTTATGTTATTATGTCTGTTGACATAGTCATTTGAACTGGGAAAAATCAGTAACTGGGAGGAGGAGTGGCCCTTTTTCATACAGGAAAGGTTTTCCTGTAGTTGATTAACCTAAATGCTAGGGGTAGTAGGTAATAGGTTAGTATGGAGGAAAGTTAAAAGGTAAACTGCTCTTAAAATCATTTTCTGACATTTTAAAATTTATGGGTTTGTTTTTTTTTTCCTTTTTCTGTAAAGGTGATGAGACAAAAAAAGGGAATTTGTATTAAAAGAGGAGAAGGTTTATGACAGGAAACAGCTTTCTTTCTTGGCTGGGATCTAATACCTTAAAATAGCTTTGTGAGCTCAGATAAACCTTTTCATGCCTTTAATACTAAGAGAGAGGTCAATTAGGCACCCCATAGAAGCTTCTCAGAAAGTGTTTGGTGAGTGAATGAGGAAAGTGTTAAAGCATACTGATATGATTTCAGGTCTGTAACTGGTTCATCAACGCCCGCCGCAGGCTCCTCCCTGACATGCTGAGAAAGGATGGCAAAGATCCAAATCAGTTCACAATTTCCCGCCGTGGGGCCAAGATTTCTGAAGCTAGCTCCGTGGAGTCTGCAATGAGCATCAAAAACTTCATGCCAGCCCTAGAGGAGAGCCCATTTCATTCCTGTACAGCTGGACCAAACCCCACCCTAGGGAGGCCTCTGTCTCCTAAACCATCGTCCCCAGGGTCAATTTTGGCTCGACCGTCAGTGATCTGCCATACTACGGTGACTGCATCCAAAGATGTGCCTTTCCCACTCTGTCAGTCAGTAGGTGTGGGACAAAACACAGATGTACCGCAGATCGCAGCCAGCAACTTTACAGACACCGCTCTCATCTACCCAGAGGACTCCTGTAAATCTGGACCAAGTACAAACACACAAAGTGGCCTTTTCAACACTCCTCCTCCTACCCCACCAGATCTCAACCAGGATTTCAGTGGATTTCAACTGCTAGTCGATGTTGCACTCAAAAGGGCTGCAGAGATGGAGCTTCAGGCAAAACTAATGGCTTAACCCTTTTTTCAAGCAAAACAGTTCTCAAAAATGTCATGACTGCCGGGGTGATGGCAAGAGACAAATTGCATTATTTTATATATATTTTTTTTAATTAATATTTGCACATGGGATTGCTAAAATGAAGCTTCCTGTTACCGAGATGTCTTTAGTGGAATACGGTCATTCCAAGAACTATAAACTCAAAACTACTGCAGAAACAAAGGGTTTTCTTTTTTAAATGTTTCTTGGTAGATTATTCATAATGTGAGATGGTTCCCAAGATCATGTGATTTTTTTTCCCCCTTCTTACTCCCCTTTTTTGGTTGGTGTTTTTTTACACTGTGCAATACTTAGAGAACTAGCATCTTTTCATTCCTATGTGGAACAGGATGCCCACATACTGTCTAATTAATAAATTTTCCTTTTTTTTTTTCAAACAAGTATGACTCTAGATGATTGATGATGCCTTTTTCATGACATAATAAAGTATTTTCTTTAAAAATTATTGTAATGCAGTATGTTTTGTTGAAGGAGTTGTGCTTCTTAACAATAAGGAATATGGCACTCTAATGAGCAGGAAGTGGGGGGGAGGGGGGAGTGTGAATTGGGGGTGTCATCATCTCTGAAGAACCGTGGACAACAAGCCAGTATGTATAAACAGGATGTGTGATATTTATTTTTGACAGGAGGCAAAGCAGGTCCTTAAATCTTAAAACTGCAGGGCAAATGGAAATGAATCCTTTTGTCAGTGTTTAGTTTGCCATTAAATCTCTTAATGATCTACATATTTTAAATCTTGGCCAATGTTGGAAAGAAAGGCCTTGAAGCAGCTGGGTTATGCCTTAAGTTTTCAGAAGTAATCAAGAATCCAAGTAGTCTCTTAGCAATCCTCTTTACTATATTGTCCTATAAAATAACCCTTGCTCAGTGGTGCTGTTAGGTAATGCCCTTGTATTCAAATAGCACTTAAATTGTATATAATCACTTATATAACATTTTCTCAAATAATGAAGTAAACAGTGGGGTTCTATGATGACGCTGTTAACTTATTTGATAAACAGTTTCCAAGATCACAGTTTGCAGATACACAATGGTGTCATACACCAGTGAAGTTGTTGAGACAAATATGTATAAAATCACAATGGTTTAGAAAGGAATATGATGTTCCTTTCACTTAATATGGTTGAACAGATTTGTCACATGCCACAAGACCATTCTTTATAGTCATGCTTGGTATGAAGTTTCTTTGTTCCTATAGTCATCTTTCCAGTCCTGTCCCAGTTATGAGTTGTTCGAGTTTCATAGCTTCAGTATTGTTTAAAGAATAAAAATATTCTCCCAAATTTAAGCTTAAACTTGGGAACCCTATTTTAGAAAATTCCTACTACAGAAAGAGCTGAGTTCAATTTTGGTATGTGTAAGTAAAAGTAAAAAATTAACAGCTGTTGTGCACAGGGTCCATATGAGTCAGAGAACTACAGCATCTAATGAGAAGAGGAAAGAAAAACACGTGAGAAAACTACAGCACTCCAGTTTCTGAGGAGTACAGGTTTAAAAGCACATAGGCCTTTAGTGAGCTGGCTCCACCTTAAAGAGGCACAGAAATAGAAATCATAAAGGAACAAAACAAACAATTAAAATGAAATAAAGGTGCTAAGAATCCTAGTTTGCTCCAGTAGCTAGATCAAAGACCTAAATTTCACCAGAAGTCCAGCAAAGCCTAAAAGCCTTCATAATGAAGTTAGACCTTTAATAGCGCTAAGAAATGAAAAGGAACCCTATTAGGAATTAAAAAAAAAAGTTTAACAGGTCAAATGAAAACTCATAGCTAAAAAAAATCGCCGTAAATTGTGTGTGTATTTTTATTTTCCCTCTTAATAACGAGACCCTAATAAATAGAAATGGAGTTCTGGTGTGGTGCTTTGGGTTGATGCGTCAGGCTGCAAAGTCTTTTGAACTGCAAGGTTGACGGTTCAAGCTCACCAGCTGCTCCTTGGAAACCCTATACAGGGTCGCTATGGGTCGGAGTTGACTCAACGGCACTTAACAACAATAATAATAAATAGAAACTTTTCATTTGTTTATCTTTAACTTATTTGTGATTTTGTGGTAATTCATATTTTAATTTGCAGATAGTTTTGTTCTAGCTAGTCTAACAACCTCTGCCTTTTCATTGTTTTTTTTTTTGTCACTTAGTATTTAATATAATTACTTAGAGTTTTGATTAGGCTTACCATAGCCATCTACCCTAATCTTTTTTTGCCTGCCTTTTGTTTTAAAGGTGGTTCTAAGGGTTACAATATAATTCTTTAATATCACATTCTTCTTTACAACTTCATATAAAATATTTGTAAGAATATAGTTTCATTAACCCTTCCCCTTCCATTGTTTTCATATATATGAAGCTGTATACTTGATAAACACAACAGTATCTGCTCTAAATTTTGCTTTTTTTTTTTTAACAAGGTGCCTTTAAAAATGAGAAAAAAGGGTGCATATATGATCTTTTTTATTTCCCAGATGCTTATTATTTCTGGTGTTCTTCATTCCTTCCTATAGATGGGAATGACATCTAGTGTCATTTCTCTTACGTTTTAAGAATTTCCTGAAGATGCAAGCTTGGTGACAAATGCTGTTTCTCTTCATTACAAATGGCTTTATTTCACTTTAATCTTTGTTGAGTAGTTTTATTAGGTATATAATTTAAGGTTGGTTTTGTTGTTGTTGTTTTTTTTAAAACCTCCCTTTCAGCATTTTAAAGGCATTCATTGTCTGCTTGATACCATTGTTTCTGATGAAACATCAGATGTCATTTGTATCATTGGTTCCAAATGTGAGGTCTTTTTTTCTGGTGGTTTAATCTTTGGATTTTAATATTTTTTACTCTGATGTACATAAGTATGGTTTCACTGTGTTTATTTTGCTTGTGGAGTCCCTGGTGGTTCAAACAGCTAATGCGCTCAACAGCTTTAAAAACAGGTTGGAAGTTTGAGTCTGCACAGAGGCAAGTTGGAAGAAAGGCCTGGTGATCTTTAGAAAAGCGGCCACTGGAAACCCTATGCAAAACAGTTCTGCTCTGACACACATGTAATTGTCATGAGTTGTAATCACCCTTGACATCAACTGTTGCTATCTTGCTTCAGGTTCAGAGTTTCTTGGATTTGTAAGTTTGGTTTTTTTAAACCAAATTTTGGGAGAATTTTGGCCATTATTTCATTTTCCGTTATTGTATTTTTCACCTTTAAAATGCCCACTTGGTTCTTTTTTATTGTTCCTGTTTCTCTGCTAAGATGTCCCATCAGTTCATTCTTTGGGGTATTTTTTCTTATAAACTAAAACAATTGCCTTTAAAGGCCTGTCTGTTTATTGGAAGAAGTCATAATCAGCTGCTATTGACTACATTTTTCACTTCCATATGGATCTTGTTGTTAGATGGCATCGAGTCAGTACTGACTCATAGCGACCTTATGCACAGCAGAACGAAACACTGCCTGATCCTGTGCCAACCTCACTACCATTGCCATGCTTGAGTCCATTGATGCTGCCACTTGGCCAATCCATCTTGTTGGGGGTCTTCCTCTTTTTCTCTGACCCTCCACCTTACCAAACATAATATCCTTCTCCAGTGACTGGTCCTTACTGACAATATGTCAGAATAGACTCAACTCAATGGCATTTAACAACAACATATGTGGACAGGACTCTTGGTATGCTGTAGGATCAGCATTGGACTGCTAACTGAAAAGTCAGCAATTCAAACCCACCAGCTGAGTCAGAATTGACTTGATGGCACTTAACAACATATGTAGACAGTCTTCTAGTTCAGTTTGTTTATTTTTATTGTTCACACGTTGTTAAGTGCCATCAAGTGGGTTCCAAGCACCCTGCAAAAGGTTTCTGAGGACCACCTGGTGAGGTTGAACTGCTGACCTAACTTATTTGAGGGGGGACAATAAGGTTTCTGAGGAGCACCTGGTGGGTTTAAACTGCTGACCTAACTTACTTTGTTGTTGATGATGATGTTGTAGTTGTTAGGTGCCATCAAGTCGGTACCGACCCATATTTGAGAAGGGGGAAATTCTACTATCACTAGAAACCAGAATTTATTATAGTTACTTTTACACTCTGGGCCAATGGTTCTCACATTTATTTGCACATTGGAATCATCTGATAAACAACAACAACAAAAATACTGGCAAGGTCTAAGGTTGTTTAAAAAAAATCCCTGAGTAGTTCTTATGTAAAGATAAGTTTGGGAAACTGTTTCTCATAAGTGAAAATTGGAAATCGACTATTCATCTTTTTTCCAGACCTATAAAAATTTGGCTTTGTAGTCTTTCTGTTTAGGTACTAAGACAATTATGGAGAAGGAAACAATTTGCTATAAAATTATTTTACCACTCAAGTCAACTTTTTTCAATTGTAGTTTAATATAATTTTTCTATTTGTCAGGGATAACAATATACATATATTGTTATACATATAGTATATAATACATATAGTATTATATGTATACATATAGTATACACATAGTGAAGTGAAGCCAAGCCACTAATGGAGAGATCTAAAAGTAGTACCGGAAGCTAACATTCATGTGTATCAATCCAAAAAGTGATGTTATCTCTGGAAACCCTGGCCAGAAAGCAAGAAGCATAGATCTCATTAAGTTCATTAACAGGTAAATGTGTTAAGTCTTGATCTCTAACTAAAAACCATGTTCTTAAGCAGACTGCCTTTGGGGCTGAGTTTTATGATTCTGAAGCTGAAAAGAAAATACTCAACAAATGCTTTGTAGCTGAAGGAAGATCTGTACTTTGGTTGACGGTCAAATAGTACCCATGACAAATAAGGGTACAGCACAATAAAGCTGGGATTAAAACAAATAGTGCAGGGAGTTCACCAAATGTCAAAGAAATCGTTTTTGAATGAAATGCTTTATAGACAGCAACCTTTGAATCAGATCTCATGGTGGAAATTTATTCAGATATATAAAGTATTTATAAACATTAATTAATAACATACACATCAGGAAAATGTTCTACAGAGTGGTTTTAGAAGATAAATTGTACCATAGGAAACTTCGTCAGTATAAATACATTTTTAAGTACTTTAAGTGTAGTGGTTACAAATCGGGCTGTGAACTGCAAAGTCAGCGGTTCGAAACTACCAGCTGTTTCATGGGAGAAAGATGAGGCTTTCTGCTCCTGTAAAGATTTACATACAACCTCGGAAACCCTGTACAAGGTCACTGTGAGTCGGAATCGACTCCACGGCACATAACAACAACAATTCCTTACTTGACTGTTTCACTATCTGACATTTTGCATTTGCAACAGTAGTAAACTATCTATTTGGCAGTAATGACTGCCAAGGTGCTAGGTAACCCTAGTGCTGAGATGGCTAAGACTATGTGTCAACTTGGCTGGGGTACCAGTCATGATTTTGGCTCGGTCATGAGTATCAGTGGTTTGGCAGTCATTTAATGATGTAATCACTCTTCAT